TGAAGATACCAGTTAGCGTCGGGTAAATCAGTCAAACCCGACTCTTTGGTGTAGTTGTTCCCTTTGAGCCCGGAGCGCGGCTCCGCTACGGTGCCGGTCCGTGTGCGGAGTTCAACAAGCGCTGGGGCAGAGCGGCGCTGCCTGAACGCTGCTGGATGGCAGAGCACGAGGCTTGCCGGGCTCTTCCCTCAAACCGGGCTTGCTGCCGGGATTGCTTCGCTGGCTTTTCCTGCGAGTGGAGCCTAAATTACTTTAAATTACTGTCTGCTTCCTGGGTATGTGCAACAGCAATTAGAGGCCCTGTGGATTAACGCTGGAGAGGAGCAAACGAGTCACGTTTCAGCTGAGGCTGTTTGAGTGCCTGATCAATTTTCTGGCGGGGAGGGAGTGCTGCTGCTCTCTGGTGTCATTAGTGGGGTGGTTAATTATGCACATGCCAAACAGCTGGCGGTTGCTGGTGGTGTGCGTGCAGGCAGAACTGGTTTGTTGCATCTGCTGCTTTTCACCAGTTATTCCCGATGGAGAAGCTGAAGTCGGGCAGGTGAAGCGACTGTCCTGGCCTGCACACCAGCGCTCTCCCCTGTGCCAGCGGTTTTTAAGCTCGTGGCTCGTAGATGTCTCAAATGCGTGCGGATATTCCTGGGAAAACCACTAAACCTTGCAGGCTCATTCCACACGTGCAGGCGAGCCAGATGCCAACCAAATGGGAAGGAGCAAAGGAACAGGCAGAGCAACGCCACGGATCTGATCCTGCGGTCGCTGAGTTGCCTCTCCAGACCTCACTGGTAGCGCCGAACACAAGACGCCGTGTGTGGCTGAGCCTGGGCACGGCCCGTGCCGAGTGGACTCTGGACCCTGCTTGGTTTTGGTGCTGGCGTTTGAAATCAGATCCGCTCTGTCGAGCAGCGCGTAACACAAGTGGGCGCAAGGTGTAATTTTGTACCAGAAAAGTCAAGGTAATGATCAGAAAGACCAGGAAGGTCTGACACGGGTCAAGGCTATAAATGCAGTGGCTTGGAACAGTCTGGCCGGCTCTGCGGGGCTCGACAGAGCTGCCAACACCAATCTTGAAACTCAGGATTTGTTCTCCTCGCTGCTGTCACGTTTCCGTAACTCCCATCCGTGTGCCTCGCCGGGTGCTCAGCCCCAGACGGAGCAGCCGGACCTGCACCGCTGCTGTTTCGTTTCCAGA